TCAACAGACATTCACACATTGATTTTCTTCATGTTTTGACTATTGCTCTGGCCAGCTGCAAAGCTGGCCCTGGGAGACGTCACGGTTTGGCGTCTCTCTCTGTAGAATGGGGTTAGCCTGAAGTGATATAATGTATAGGCCTGTTGTGGTTCGGGGTCTTTCATCTTTCAGCTGCCTGCGTGCATGTTGGAGGTGCAAGATACCTGAGCGTGTAATGTTAATTTTTACCTGTGTTCATTGAATAAATCAGCACTATTTTGAAGTTACTCGGACTGCTTCGTCTCTCAGAGTTAGCGTGAGAGCCGGCTGAACTCTCCAGACGACCGGTCCATTGTCCCAGACCAACAGATGGGGCGGTAATCCTGTGCCAGGCTGAGCTGGAAATCCGACATTCGGTCCTGATTTGACTGGTATTCCCAGATGAGAGAGTGACTTCCTGGGTCTTGTCGAGCTGTGCTGCAGTGCCACACATCAAACTGGGTCGGCCACAAACTGAGGTAAGGCAGGAACCTTTGTTTATACATAAAACCTCCACATTGAACTTATACTAAATTAAAGTTGATGTGTGAAACTGCCCACTCTCGACGCTTTAAATTGGATTCAAAACAGTAAGGATAATAAAACACATTTGTTTTTGAATGATGTGCTGATTTGTTCCCTGACACATGTCAGGAGTTAACAAGCACATAGTCTCATTTTGAGGGATGGTAAATGAGTGCCGTGATTTCAGAATTTGATATCAATAAGGGACGTAAAATTCACGTTTTATAAGTGAATTTCTGCTACGTAGTAGTCGTCATCTCCCCAAATTGCCTGATTTCTATTGTAATTTCCCTCCGGCTGGAGAATAGACAGAGAGTCATCTCAACTGAACAGATGCTCTTTGATACATTCCACACGTAATAACGGCACAGGGAAATCGCCAGTTTATTATTTTTCTTATGGAATGTGTGGGTGGATAACTGCACAACAGGCTGATTAAGATGTCCACAGGCGTATCACAACTGGACGAGTAGGTTCGGTTGTGAGAATTTGGTGTGGATTTAACGTGCCTTGTGCAGCAGTGTATGGTGTCCGGGTGGAGCAGATAGATTAGAGGGAACTGTGTAGATAGCCTTAGAGTGGCCACTGTCCGTTTGAGATAAAACGGTGTTATTTCGCTGGGGTAACCCCAAGGACCGGCGCGCATCAGAACTATTCTGATGTCGAAGGTTCGCCGGTCAGCTGTTTTGATTGTGCCCGGAGTCTCTCATAACGGACAGCATCACGTGTGGTATTTATTTTTCACTATGGCTGATTGTGATATTATTCAGGTTTGGAAGAAATGCCAATCTGGCTCATTAGGTGCTATTTTGTATCAGCTGTTAAACAAATGGCTCGGCACATTGAATTCAAACAAATATTGTAGTGAAACACAGTGTTTTGTAACATGGGCTGAAAAGATGTGTGAAAAAGGAATGTTCAGTGCCTATGACAAAGCCCCCCCAGAAGAGGGAGCTGTAAGATTATATATTAAATAAGCAGCTCGCTCAGCGGCTAAAGCACGTTTGCGTGACAGTACAGCGTCTTTACTACAGAAACACAAAAGAGAAGCTAAAGTTAAACACTGTGAGACATTTCTTCAGGACTGTCTCTGTTTTTTGGCTGAATTTGAAAAAATTCAAAAAACCACAGCCATTGGAAAAGAAACATGCGGGTCTCTCTCTCTCTCCGGTGACACACATACACATACAGATAACACCTCCCAGGAATCTCGAGGTCACACACACACACACCCAGCCCCTCCTCCCTCTCAAGCTTCTCTGGGACAGGAAGGAGGCTGGGAGACAAGATTTCAAAGTAAGGCACAACACCAGATGCCATTAGTTACCCCTGCCATGAGTAATTACAATGTCTTACCATTAGTTGTCGTACATGGGGGAATATTACAGACAGCTGCTTTTCCCGGTGGAGAAAAAGACTGGCATAGTGCTCAGCAGTACTTGGACGGTGTTAAAGCAGAGTCTGTTGCACAGACTGCTGCTCTAAGTAATGAAGCATGCGCTACTGGACATGATAGTGCGTCAGCAGTTTGCGATCCTGTGAAAAAGTTGCAAAAAGCGTATGGTCTTTCAGTGAAAACTCATAGTTCTGGTTGTGGTACTGATCATAACAGAGGGAAGAAAAAGCATGCCTGTCATGTGGCTGTGCCGACTATGACTGAGAGTGAATCTTCAAGTGTGTTTAGTAGTGAGGATGATAAGCCCTATAATCCCTCTTTAAGACAAAAAAATAAACACAGAGGCAATATACACGACTGCCTGGAGCGACCCGCTGCTCAAATGCCGCTTCTCCAAACTGAGAGAGTGCAGGGTGGAGTTTCAATGATGTACACGCCTTTCACTCTTCAAGACACGTCACTTATTAAAAGTCAGCTTCTGCCATTGGAGCAGGGCGGAGCTCCTTGGATTAAAGCATTCCTGAGCGCATGCTCTGGGTGATTTCAGATGCATATTCACAGCCTGTAGTTCTCTCAGTATGTTACAGGAAGTCGAAGCCTTAGCAAACACGGATGGAGACGGTGACTCAGTCTCACTTCACACTGTAATACATGACCTCTGGCCTGTGGTCAGGATGAAGTATCCAC